GGGCAATAAATATTATGATGTTTTGAATTCACTTATCAAAAATAAAATGAAATAAGCTTTAAGCAAAGTTTTGAAATTTAGTAAATAATAATATTTAAGTAAGTGTAAAAAAAGAAAATTAAAAAAACAATATATTAAATTATGGAGAATTAATAAAGCTGTTATAACATTTAATAAAATATTAGGTATGTCTTATGATAGAAATATATCATATTATTTTAACAAAATCAAAACCTAAAACTAAAATTAAAAAGCTGAATTTCATTATTAGAATAAATTAAAATATTAACTTATTTAATTTTTACAATAAGTAAAGGATACTACTAATAAAAAAATTGAATATTTATCATCTAAACAAAATACTATTATTGTTAATGTATGTTTTTAAACCTGGATAATTGAACTTTTAAAAAGAAATAATTAAAAAAAATAATTTAAGAAAATCTTCAAAGGATTTTATTTATATCATTATAGAACTATTGGAGCTGAGTTTATTAAATAACTAAAGCTTGAAAAAAAATTGTAAATATTTATAGTTAATTTTAGATAAATTAAAGGGGAATAGGAATCTTAGCAATCTTTGATTTATTCAGTTTTTAAGGGATGGAAAATGTTAGTTGATGAAAGAAAAATGCTAAAAAAATATCTATAATAATGCTCTGTTGAAGAAAAAAGAGGGAAAAGTATTCCAAAGAATATGCCATATTGATATGGAATAATTAATAATATATTTATATAATATTTATTTAATTTCTAATTATAAAGACAAATAAATTTAGCTTTTCCACTCATTAGAAATTAGGATAATATAATTATTGTACTGCTTGTAAAAATTGATAAATTTCTATGTTTTTTTTCTTACATAAATCATAATTGAATAAAATGATAGATTTATTTGATATAAAGTTCATTTTATTAATCTACTTTTCTTGAATAAAAGATTGGAATAAATTTTGGGTCAATAATTAATACATGAAAAAGTCGCTTTAATCTGTGAATTTTCTATTTTAGGAGATTAAATAATTTAGTTTTTCTTTTCAGTTAAACTAGTTAGTTTTTTTTTGAAGTAAATATTGCCTAAAATTATTAAGAATAATATAAAATATCAAACTTTAAGAATTCAGGGTTAGAATACTTTCATAAAGTACTGTTTAAATTATATAAAATAATTTACCAAATAAAATAAATTTATCCCAAAATAGAAAGAAAAATATTTAATAATTTACATATAAACAAAAGATGGTAATCTATTTTTCTTTTTAATGAAAATTAATTAACTTTGTTTTCAGATTATTTGGTATTTTCACCAATAAAAAACAAATATTATACAGATATCTATTTGATCTACAAACTTTCTGTTGGATAGAAAGAGATGCCGATCAAAGACTTAACCATATTTTTATGATTGATCTTATTTGTATTTAAATATTAAATATTTAGTTTAAGGATAATTAGTTAAGAGAAACTTCATTAAAATTAAAATTCATAAGTTTAGTAAAAAATTAGAAGTTAAAATCTTGGGCCATTTGACATAACTTTGAGCCTCCTGATAATTACTAATTATAATCATGTCGAATCTCAGATAAGATAATTAACTAATGATAAACTTTTAGTATAGAATTCATGAGAGTGAAAAATTTTAATAAGTTATTGGATGGAGGATGAAAAAAACTGTGCAATAATAGAGACATAAATAATATAAAAGAATCAGCCTATATCAAATATGAGACTAATTTAAAATTTTTGAAGTGATGAAGCGAACTTGAAAAAAAAATGTCCATTTTAGAAATTTAATCAAGGTAGTTATGTTAGGTATTTTAAGAATAATATTTAGATGTATAATTATTATTTTGCGATTGACCTATTCTTTAAAAATATCAAAAACATATTGAGAATCCCAGAAATTAAAATTCTAATAGATATTCAAATAAGCTTTTTTGGGGATTTTGATTATGTAATGATTTCTTTATAAATAATTGATCAAAAAAATAAGAATTATGCTAGAACAATTGACGTTAAATATTCATTATTATTATGCTTTTAGAAATATGATTAGAATGATATCCTCTTATCCTAAAATAAGAGAGAACATAAGAAAAAAATTTTCTCCTTATTTATAAAATCTTTTATAATTAAAGACCAATTAAAAAGAACTTAATTATTAATTTTACCTATTTTGAATATAGTTCTAAATATTATTAATTATAGAAATTAATATTACAATATAATTATCAATTCTACAAAGAAATTCCTCCCTATAAAAAGCCAGTATTGTTGATCTACTTTAAATATATTTCTAAAAAACCAAATCTTTCTAAAATGTGGATTTGAAAAAATTGAATCATAATTGAGTTAAAGAAAGAAATTTAAACTTTTTATCAACCTTAAATTTATTTTATTAAACATATCAATTAAAACCTATATTAAAGAAAACTATATTTTCTTTGAGGTCTAATAACTCAAAAATTTTTGTTGCTCTAAAATCTGACAGTAATATGCAGAATGGTTCATCTTTCACGATTATGGAATGATAAATTAATCTATATTATTGTTATTTGTTAAAGTTCAATAAATCTACTTTTTCAAAGATTTCCTTACGAAAAGTAGGATTGAAAAGCAATAACGTTGCAGTTCTTGGTTTTATAATTAGTTAAAAAATTAATGAAGCCTTCAATATTAGTTATTTGAGCACATTAAACCTTCCTTGTGAATTTATTTTTGAAACTTAGCCATATCTTTTCAATCGGATTTGTTTTAATTAGGGTTAATATAGTGGTAAAAATAAGTGCTTAACAGCTGATAAGACTTTCTTCACTCTCTTACAGTTATGAATATTGCTATTATCCCAAAAAAGCGGGAATTCCTCATCTTAAAATTTATTATTTATTTTTAAAATTAATTTTAGATATTTTTACTATTTTTTTAACTGTCAACATTTAACTAGCTTGCTAGTGTGCCCAAAAGATGTCTCATCTAAAAATATAGAATGAAAGTTTTCAAAACACCAGTTTAAAAAATTAAGAGCATAATTAAATCTTTAATCTATAGATTTAACTCCTTTTGTATTCGATAATCTTTTTTAGTTGACAACCTAAATGAAGCCTAGCAATATCTTTTTAAAATAGTCAAAATTTTTTAAGACGTAGAGAATATCCAGATAAGTTAAAATGTTTTAAAAAGTCTTTATAAATTTTAGCTGATTGCTAAACTTCTTAGGCTTAGAGTTAAGAGATATATTGCTTAATCCACATTATGTGGATCTAATTTAAATTAAAATAGTTTCCATTTTGAATTTAAAATCCTTATTTTCATCAATGTATGGAATCGTCTCTATCGTTTAACCTAATTAAGAAGCTAATTCATTAGTTGAAAAGTTTTTGGATTTTACTATTTAGACTGATTTTCTAAATCTTAAGGACTATCTCTGGACTTAATTCTTTTTTGCAATAATATTATTATTCTTTCTCCTTAAATTCTTCAGTCTCTTAACTAATGTGTTTCTCTTTTAATAAAGCTTTAAGAGTTGTTCTTAACGCTCAGCATAACTCTGTAAATCTTATTATCATGCATTCGAATTAACATTCTGATACTTATAATGTTCCCCTGAAATTGTTGAAAAAATTAACAGGAAAGGTTTAATTTTGAGTGTTTTTCACACAAAATTTTTAGATAAGCACTATCTTTTAGGCACTTGTATTGCCTTAAAAAAATTCATTGTTTGAATTTGATAAGGTCAATATTTTTATGAAGAAAACACATTAAAACAGCCTAATTTGCATTATCCTGACGATAGTTGAGCTCATTTCATTTTTCATTTAAAATATGATATTTGGAATGAATATAAGAAAATTAATTCAACAGTATTGTATCATCATTTGCGAATATTTATCTTTAGAATTGACAAAAAGGATGCGAAGATTAGTTATATATCAAAAAATATCACCAAAGTTAAGTTATTTGGTGAACTTGAAAGAATTTGTAAATAAAAATAGCTTAACCTTGGAATAACATAAGAATGGATATCCTGATAAAAAATGGCTGTCAAAAATTCTTTTTACATTAAATGAACAGAATGAAATATTCTAAAAATATTAGGACTAGGATAAAGTAATTGGACTAATCAAAGATAAGCTAGAGTATTATTTCAAATTATTTTAGCTTGCTGAAAGGATTAAACACGTTTGGGGAAGGAAAAAAATAGTTAAATTTTTTTGACGATATCTCATTAACATGTGTTAGAAAACAAAATTAAAAAACTAAATAGAAATTGTAAAATATCAAAGTTAGACGTCAAAAAAAAGAAGGCTGATAGCAGATTATTCGATAATATTGGAGGAGGCTTCAAGATACAAATTAATTAAAAAAAATCACTGATATTCAAAAAGCAGCAAAAAATATGATTATTAAAATTATTTAAATCAGCAATTTTGTTATAGCTCTTCTATTGTTGTTTTTTAATTAATCCTATTAATACGAGAGTCGTTATAACAACAAAATATATAATCAAATGAATTGATAAGAAATACAAATTGGCAAATATTGAAGATTAATTAGAATCACGGCTTCATTTATGATTATTTTTTTAACATTAACCCTCTTTGAATGAGACAATACAACCTGGTTTTGATATTGTTTCCCGTTTGAATATAAATGCTACTGCCTTTACATTCAGAGTTAATAATAACTACATTTTGATTTTTTCCCCAATTCTGCTTTTGTTCTAACACTAATTCCTTCCTTATTTGACATTTAGAAACGGGAAAAGTATTTCTTATTTAGAGTAATTACTAGATATGTCATCTAAGTGCATATTCGCCTTATATATTTAGTATTCTAAAACTCTCAACAAAATTTCATTATGTAACAATCAGTATATTTGCCTCACTATTCAAATAATTAAAACCCAAAAAAAAGTCTACGTTCATTATACATTTAAGCAGAAATTAGTATTTTTTAATTATTTTAATATCTAGTGATGGCATTTGACTAATCTAATTCACTCAAGTTGCACAAAGCCCATGGCATCTGCATGAGATATCTTCATCAGCATTACTTTAAGGTTAAATAATGATATCCTGTAACATGAATTCAACCTGCGGAATTAATGTGGAATCTATCCTTAATTCTAATTATAACCTAATTTTCGCCATCAAAGACAATAGGTAAAGGGATCACAGATCCCCTTAATAGAAATACACCATGAATTATATATCTGAATTGGTGGTTAAATGATGAAGATAATATTTAAACTGCCTATTTAAAGGGTATTTACTTCATTCTATTTGTTTCATATGATTATTATGATTATTATTAATAAATAGAAATTTTAACAATTAGTATTAATTTAATACTTTCAAAAATAAAAAATAAAAAATTTTAGGTATTCATAAAAAAGAAACAATTAAAAACCAATTTAAGAGATTTAGATATCAAAGAATTAAAATCGTGATCTATTCAAATTAATTCTCTTACATAGTAATTTTAAAATAGAATTACTCCATTCCACATCAAATATATAAAACAGAGATGGATGAGGAATTTTGAATGATTGAGGTAGGATTCTTAATAAAAATTCTTTTTAGACATACTAAATCTTTAGATTAGGTGATTCGTTTCTAATTACTTTATTGTTATGAATATGTAATATTAGGATGAAGGATGCATACTGAATATAAAAAAGCTGAGCAAAGTTAGAGTACAAGAGGACTAAGGGAAATTTATCTGAAAATTTTTTAAGTTTTTTATAAAAATTCTTATGAAGCTTAAATGAGCTAATTTAACTTTATTTACTTTTTGTTAATTTTAGTTAAATTCTAGTGAGAGTTTCTTACTTTATAATACATAATTATCTAAGCAGAATAAATTTACTAAAAATTTGTTTAATATAAATCAATTCAATAAATTGAATCAGAAAAAGTTCTAGAAAAAATAAATTTTAGTCTTCAAAATAGTTTTATCATAAATTAAATTCTTTCAATTATTGATGTTTAAATTGATGTTATAAAATTGAGTTAAGATTTTTTATTGAAGGACTAAATTATATTAATTTTCGACTTAATTTAGAAAAAATTAGTATATGAATACTTATTAACGATAAATAAGCTTAAAAGATTGTTTTTACAAAATGTTTATATTGATACTAATATTCTAAATTTTTTAAATAATCGAAATATAGAACACTTACTCATATTCAGTTTTTATAGTCTTTATTTTTGTAAATAAATCTCTTTTTTTGTTTTTATTTATTAATATAAATTATATATATATATAAATAAATATTTAACTGATATCAAAAATATTTCATGATATTTATTAGATTATTATAAACTAACCACCAGTAAGTGATAATTGATGATTTAGATCAAGCAGTTGGGAAAGGATAAAAAATAAACACAAGCGAAATAATATTTTACTGAAAGATATTTTCAATATAATTCTTCTTATGAGATTAATTATTTATTTATTATTTGTATTGAAATAAAACGAAAAAATGTATCTATTTAAATCTTTATTATTAATATAATTTATTTTCATTCAGGTCATTATGCCACCGGGTTAATTGTAAATCATTATTTGATAAAATTTAGGCAAAAGAACAAACAATAATAAAGATCTGTGCTGACACCTTAAAAATTAGAATTATTAAACGAGAATCGTAAGCTACTTAGCCACATTTTCAATATGGGAAATTCGCATGCATAGCACAATCTGCATAGAGCTATGCTTAGGTAATTATTTTGTATAATAATCTTGATAGAATGAGAGCAGCAATGATTGAGAAAAAAATTGACGTCTCTAAGATATCCAAAAAAATTAAAGGAAAAATTGTTTCTTAACTATTGAGATATGAAAGCCATACATCTCTTCATGAAGCATTTTTTAGGTATAATAATTAATTATCAGTAAGATGGAAAGTGCGAGCTGACCCTGAAATCGTTAAGAAAGCAGTTGATTAGATTCTACTCAACTCTAGATTAAACGAATTCAATGCTTTTCATAAGTTGAAAAATCTTATAGGGTATGAATTATAAGATGTGTTTTAGTTTAAAAGATCCTTAGAAAAAAATGAATGCCAAAAAAAGAAAAAATATGTGCTTAATTAATTTAGCACTTTTCCTTTAAAAGAAAGACTTTTAACTAAAAACTGCAGCTATCTCTGCCTTAAAACCTAAAAATTAAGATTCAGATAAAATGTTAGGTTTGCTTTTATGGAGTATCAGTTCTAAACATAGAGAAAGATATTTAAGAGAGAAATTTAATTGGTGGAGACTATTTACAAAGGTAAAATCTGATAAATTGTAAAAATAATTGAAAGCTTTAGAGAGATTAGGAGATGAGTATAATATGAGAAATGATCGATTAGATAGATAAAGACTTAAAGAGGTATGAATATAAGATTATTGATAGGCTTTTGAAAAATGGAGAGGAGATTTAATGAATTTTAGACTCAAAAAAAAGTTCTTTTCGGTATTATTAAAGACAACATTTGGTCGATTATAAAGATGTTATACAAGATGGGTTGATCTGCCTGACAAAAGGGAAAATGACATGAAGAAATAAGGAATGTTATTAATAACTAAATTATCAAATAAAGCTGACTAAAATAAACGAATAGTTTGGAATTCTTTTAAGACCATTGATGATGATGCCAAAAATAAGAAAACCAAAGTCATCAGAGAATTAATTGAAGTTACTTTTAATCAATCCTATACAGCTTTTTATAAATGGGCAAATTATAATACGTATGCCAAACTAACTGAAACCAACTTAAAAAAAATTAAAGCCTTATAAGCTAGTGCAAATGTGACTTAATAGTTAGTAAAGTTGGAAACATTTAAACTATTCGGATTAAGTTAAAAAGCTGAAATATGTTCATTTCTAAATAAATTAATATTAAAGATACAATAAAGACAAAAAATGGATGCTTTAAGATAAATAGAAAACGTGTCTATGTAAAAAAAAATGCAGGAGAAATTAGATAACATAAATAAATAAGAAATTATTTCAAGATTAGGAGATACAGCCAATAAAACAGAAAAAGGATTGCTTAGATAAGTATTAAGAAAATTTGCATTAATGAGAGAACAATCAGAAATTAAGAATAAATATTTTGGTAGAATTATTTTAACAACAAGCGGAATGGCTATGGATGCATTTCGTAGATGGAAATAGTTACCTGACCCTTCTGAATAACAAATGCTACAAAATGTTTCAAAATTCTAACTTAGACTTCAATTCCTTTTTAAATAGAGAGTAAAATAATCTTTTGATCCATTAAAAGAAGTGTATTATTAAGGTACCTAATGTAAAAGATTGTGTGTTAAATAAATGTTGGTTAAATAATTAAGTGCCCCATAAAGATTTTTACGTTAATGGTAATCTATGAACAAAATTTATAAATCTGTTATAGCTTGTTAAAAAACAAATAACTTTTTTGATTCTTTATAAGAAGTTTTGAGAAATAACATTAGAGCATTTTTATATACAAGAAAGGATGCAGAGGTTAAAGAAAAGTGTTTAGTAAAGTTAATGTCTTCATTTACAAATAATTTGATGATAGCATTTCTGAAATGGAAAAATTACAATAAATAATAAAAGATTTCAGAAAAATTGGGAGATGAAAAAAAAAGATTTATGTTAATTAACCTTCAAAGATTTATTAATAATGATAATTTGAATAGATTAAGAAGGATTTTAAGGCTCTTCTACAATGAGTAACAAGTAAATTAGTTGATTAAGAAAATACATCTTCGAGTTCTTCAAACATAAATAGGATAAGTTGAATCATCGTTTTAAAAATGGAAGTCATTACCTGGAGATGACGCTTTGAAAAATTAGGCTAAAGTAAGTAAATTTGCTATTTCTCTTGGTAAAATTACTTATAGATTTATTAAATTAAACTCTTGGGATTAACTAGAAAATCAATTATTGGATGGGTAGGCCAAAAAAAAATTTTGCATCAATAAAATAATTGCTGTTACCCAAAGTGACTTAAAAAAAGCATTTTTATTGTGGCATCGAAAAGCTTGGGAGATGAAAATGTTTGATAAGTTTTCTTAACTTAATGTTACTTTAAATGATTAGATAGTCAAATAAAAATTGATTGGATGGATAAATGCAGGATCGAAAGTTAAGTTTCATGCATTAACTGAAGTATTAAGAAGATTTAATAAAAATGCTATTGAATAAAATCTCAAAAGAAAAGCTCTTTCAATTATAAATAGAAATACAATATCTTAAGTTTGGCTGTCATTTAATAGATGGAAGTAATTGCCAGAAGATAATAATCAACTTTAAGTTAAAGCAAGTGTGTTTGAAAAATCACTAAATAAATTTATAATTCATATTGCAAGAAAATGCACATGGAATCCATTATAAGAAGCATACGATGATGCTTTGGCTATTAAGAAAAGAGCAGTTTTACTAATGATAAAAACTTAAGAATCAGAATAATAAAGAACATTGGATTAATGGAATAAAAATGTTTAATTAATTAAAGAAGTTGAGAAATGTAAATTTGTTATCAATCTTTTTGGATTTTTAGGATTGCATATTAAAAATAATATTGCACCTTTGAAACCAGATGAAGAATCATAAAAGAAAGAAAAAGCATTGCTTAGACTTATTGGTAACTTCGATAGCAACTTAAGATATTTCTTTATGAAATGGTATAATGATGGAAAATTGTTGAAATTGTAGGGAGCTATGAATGAAGAGAAGAAGAAATTGTTATTAGAAGCTATTAATAATTTCTCAAAGAATAACGACTTTGCAAAATTGAGGGCAATACTTGCTAAATTCAAAAGAAATTCAAGCGTCACTGCCGTTCAAGATAGATTCTTTGCTAAATTGTTTGCAACATAATTTGGAGGTGCTATTGTAGCTTTCTAAAAATGGAAGAATTTACCTGAACCAGTCAACACTGAATAATTAAAGAATGCAAGAAAATTTGAGAGAAAATTAGACATTCTTTTCCACACTCACTTAAAGGTGTCATTTGACCCATTAAAAGAAGATTATATGGATGCTTAAAATATAAAGAGAATGTGTTTAAGAAAGATTTTTGAAAAGGGTATGAGTGCTCATAAAAGATTATTCTTACTTTGGGCATAATAAAATAGATAAGCTAAATAAATTGAATTGTGCAAATTAACTACAAGTTTATTTGTTGGTTTAGCTTAAATTGTAACTGCAAATGTTTAACCAATCATGTAAAATCCTCGAGAAGCATAAGCTAAAGAAAAAGCTCTTCATTTGATATTCCAAGGTTAAGCTGAAAACTTAAGCAGAGCATTCTTTTTGTGGAGAAATAAAACTTAATAAGATAGAATGCATTAGAACTTTGAAGATGCTTTAACAGTTGAAAAGAAAAAACAATTGACAGAATAATTAGTATAATTTGAACATGGCAATAAATTCGCTCTGTATAGAGCAATTTTAGCTAAATTCTCGTTAGCTCATAAGAAAGAGAGATTGATTCTTTAAATTAATGCAAGAATTTTAAGAACTTAAATAGGAGCAGTTTGGGATACATTTAACAAATGGAAGAATCTACCTGAGGCTAATGCTGAAGAATTAGTTAAAGCAAGCAAATTTGAAGCATAATTAAATAAATTTGCTCTTCATATATGGAGGAAGAGAACCTGGAACCCTCTTCAAGAAGTTTATGATGATGCACAAGCTTTAAAGAAGAGAGCCATAATTTTAATGATCAAGACACAAGAATCAGAATAATAAAGAGCATTGGACTAATGGAACAAGAATGTTGGTTTAATTAAGGAAGTAGAAAGATGTAAATGCGTCATAGGATTGTTTGGATTTATAGGTTTACATATTAAAAATAATATTGCACCTTTGAAACCAGATGAAGAATCACAAAAGAAAGAAAAAGCATTGCTTAGACTTATTGGTAACTTCGATAGCAACTTAAGATATTTCTTTATGAAATGGTATAATGATGGAAAATTGTTGAAATTGTAGGGAGCTATGAATGAAGAGAAGAAGAAATTGTTATTAGAAGCTATTAATAATTTCTCAAAGAATAACGACTTTGCAAAATTGAGGGCAATACTTGCTAAATTCAAAAGAAATTCAAGCGTCACTGCCGTTCAAGATAGATTCTTTGCTAAATTGTTTGCAACATAATTTGGAGGTGCTATTGTAGCTTTCTAAAAATGGAAGAATTTACCTGAACCAGTCAACACTGAATAATTAAAGAATGCAAGAAAATTTGAGAGAAAATTAGACATTCTTTTCCACACTCACTTAAAGGTGTCATTTGACCCATTAAAAGAAGATTATATGGATGCTTAAAATATAAAGAGAATGTGTTTAAGAAAGATTTTTGAAAAGGGTATGAGTGCTCATAAAAGATTATTCTTACTTTGGGCATAATAAAATAGATAAGCTAAATAAATTGAATTGTGCAAATTAACTACAAGTTTATTTGTTGGTTTAGCTTAAATTGTAACTGCAAATGTTTAACCAATCATGTAAAATCCTCGAGAAGCATAAGCTAAAGAAAAAGCTCTTCATTTGATATTCCAAGGTTAAGCTGAAAACTTAAGCAGAGCATTCTTTTTGTGGAGAAATAAAACTTAATAAGATAGAATGCATTAGAACTTTGAAGATGCTTTAACAGTTGAAAAGAAAAAACAATTGACAGAATAATTAGTATAATTTGAACATGGCAATAAATTCGCTCTGTATAGAGCAATTTTAGCTAAATTCTCGTTAGCTCATAAGAAAGAGAGATTGATTCTTTAAATTAATGCAAGAATTTTAAGAACTTAAATAGGAGCAGTTTGGGATACATTTAACAAATGGAAGAATCTACCTGAGGCTAATGCTGAAGAATTAGTTAAAGCAAGCAAATTTGAAGCATAATTAAATAAATTTGCTCTTCATATATGGAGGAAGAGAACCTGGAACCCTCTTCAAGAAGTTTATGATGATGCACAAGCTTTAAAGAAGAGAGCCATAATTTTAATGATCAAGACACAAGAATCAGAATAATAAAGAGCATTGGACTAATGGAACAAGAATGTTGGTTTAATTAAGGAAGTAGAAAGATGTAAATGCGTCATAGGATTGTTTGGATTTATAGGTTTACATATTAAAAATAATATTGCACCTTTGAAACCAGATGAAGAATCATAAAAGAAAGAAAAAGCATTGCTTAGACTTATTGGTAACTTCGATAGCAACTTAAGATATTTCTTTATGAAATGGTATTCTAATAATTTAAAAAAAATCAATTTTAAAAAAAAATATATTTAAATATATAATTATAAATAATTTTTTTTTAAGATATATTTCTAAACAAGTTTATTTTGAAAAAAAAAATAACCTTTGCAAATTCACCTATTTTAACTTATCATTACTTCTTCTATCTATCAAAATATTCTACCTATTTAATCTTATTTATTCTTTTTATATTATCGCCTAACCTTTCATTACCTAAAAAATGACATCTATATTTAACTTAATTATATTTTTCCAGTACTCTCAATTTCTACAAAAACATTAAAAGATTTTGTATAAGAAGATTTCGTTTTAGTTTTTTTGAATCCTAAATTTAAGAAGAATAAGTGATTTATTAATTAATGCTATGAATTAAAGAGTTTGATATATAAATTTAAGAATATGATTTTACATTATAATAACAACATTTGTTACAAGTATTCTGGATAAAAGTTACGTTTAGAAAAAGTATATCACAAATAAATGTTTTGCTTGACATTTTTTTAAGTAGTAAATTTAATACATTTAAATCGTGAAAAATGAAAAAGGATAAAGAAAAGAAAAAATTATTACTATAGCCATTCATACTTCGAAACAAATTTTTTATAATGACTTTCAATATTAATTTTCTAAAATATCAAAATTCCTAAATATTTACCACAATTCTTGCTCCCTTCATATCCTATTTTTCTACTTCTTTTTTTAATTAGCAGAATAATTAAATCTTTGCAGTTTTCACTATGACATTATATTTCTAAGACAATAAATGAACTCATTATTCAACTACCAAAAATTTAGTAAGCAAATTCATTTGTGTAATTGAAAATTTTTGTCCATCAAAGTTATTGAAAGGTTAAATCTGATTTAACATTTTCTTCATTTTAGAGAGAGCATCTTCAATCTAATTTTCTTTTAAAGATCTTCAATTAACTAATCCAAGGATATCAAGCAGGTAAGGAGCAAATATTGATCCTTAATGAAATTCATTGTAGAAATTTTTATTACTTTTAATAGATTCATAGATAGGGTTGATCATAAAGCCATTCAAGAGCATTCAATTCATTAAATTGTAAGAAAACTTAAAATTTTTTCTGCTTCTCTTAACAAATTAATGACCTAATCTCACTTAACTGTTGTATATTTATTCTATCTGACTATTTCCTTCTGATCTATGATTAGAGTTCTCTTACTAGAGATGTTATATGAAGGGAACAACCGATATGTAAAACAAAGCCGACTTGTGAAGCATTATAGTCCAAATCAATATAAATTTAGTTTATGGTTTAATACCCATTTTATTAAATATTCATATATTTTCATAATCATTATTGAAACATCTTTATATTTGTATCTATGTATTTGTCATTAGGCGATCTATAAGACTACTAATATTCTTTTTTAAAACTCCATGAATTGCTCTTAATAATTAAATTTTATCACAAGGCTAAGTTTTATAAATCTACTCTTTTAACAATTTCCAAATATTTTCAATAGGATTTAATTCTGGAGTATAAGGAGCTAAAAATAAGTAATTAATATTATCTAAATATCTCTATTTTATCATCTTACTTTAATGAGTTGGACAGTTATCCAGAGTAATAAGGAATTTTTAATTTTTGTAAAATTCAGTTGCACTTTTGATTAGCTTTTCTATAAATTACCCAAAAATAAATAAATTAACATTTCCTATGCATACCTAAAACATCTAAAAGCCATTTTAACCTATTCCCACCATTACATTAACAGATTTTTGAAGAGTGACTAATTTTCGAAATTTTTGATTCTTTTTTTATTACCAACATTTTGGATTGCGAGATTAATGAGCAAAAGTGGTTTCATCAGCATAAATTGTTTGAATTCATCATTGATATAAGAAAGGAGATCAATACAATATTGGGTAACTTTTCTAAATCGGGATTTTTTAAAAAACCAAAGCTGCGCTTGGGAATTTATTTGTAAGCTAACCCATTTCTCTTCAAGCATTCTCGAAATTTCTTTATTCCAATTATTTGATTTTCAAGAGAAAAATGAAGTTTAAACGCTGCAAGAATCTAAGAAGAATTCCAAATTTCTTAGATATCTTGGGTTTGAACATATTTTTACAACCAATCTATATGAATTTATTAAAAATAAAATTAAGTTTAGAACTCATTACTTGAGGTTATTTATTATTCTCTATAATAAATTTAGTTCTTTCGATAACCCTGTAAAATTATAGATGTACTATTTTGTAAATCCTAATTAAGTCAGTTTTCTGATTAGATAAGCATCTTTTTTTATCAAATAATTTTAATTCAACATCTAGTTTTATTTCCTTATTTTCTTTGTTTTGTTAGAAAAATAGGATCCAACTTTCTAATTATTCAAGTTTTATGCCTGTTAACAATTTAACTTAGTTACTAAAGGAAATTTATTTTTTTTTATTGAACTTAAACATATATTAGCATATAAGGTATATTAATTGCATAGAAAGTTGCATCTTCGATGGTATATAATTGGTTATCCAATCTCGACTTTGCTCTAAAGTTAAAATTATAACACTCCAAAAAAATTTTCACTTTAATTCTAAAGGCTATTGGATTCTTGGAGATCTTGATAATAAGAGGATTAATAACTATTAGAATTAGATGCCATTTATTATTCTAATAATGTTAATATTCTTCTGCTTTAATGTTTGATTTAAACACTTTATTTATTCTACATAGAATAATTTAGAATAAACAATATATTTTTTGATTTCAAACTATAAAAGTTGATATAAAATACATTATGTAATTAATTATGTCATACTCTTAATAATAATAATAATAATAATAATAATAATAATAATCTGATAAATCAAAGTCGCTGGCATTTGGAATCATAAAAGTGTGAGGAAGGAACACCTTGGAATAACAGCTAGAGATAAAGTTCTATGACCATAAGTTCGAAGCCTCTGATTAAAAATTGTTTTATCTTTTTTTTAGATAGTTCCTTAAAATTCTAAAAAAAATTCATGATTATTTTTATCATGACAGAGTATAACATATTTATTGGGGTCCAAAATATGTCTCCAAATCTTTTAAAGTCCAGCCACCCGTTGAATTTAACCATAACTGCTCTACAGAACCGTGCATGCCACCAAGATCTATCTGAAAGTTTTTAATAAACCAGAACTTAGAAACCTTTGTGCCCTATTTCCTATCCTACTGGTGAAAAGTTTGTCACAAAAGTAAATTACCAGGCAAGTTGAGAAACGGAAAATCAGAGCTATCCCCATCCCAATGGGAACCTGGAACAGCGGGTGATAGATATCATCTCACCAAAAATTATGAAATGGCTGCGTGAAATGTTTTTAATTAAATTTTTAGCTAGTGTTAATATATTACGAATATCCTTTGATGCAAAACTTTTAAATATACTAGTTATTGTTCCATAAGATTTAGTTTATTCAGAATGATGCTAGTAGTAAATTAAAAAGCTAAATGAAGTGATTTTTGATAGTCTACTTTGTTATAAGCAGAAGAATTAAGTTCACTATTGTATTAATAAGCTAAAAGTTTTCTTTTCACGGATGAAATCATCTTCGACACGATGTTTATTGAGAATGTTCTGTTAAAACTGAGACACTGATTTGTAATATTGCTAGGCTCTTAGGAGAGTGCCTAACTCCTAGGCCTAGCGAAGTCGGATTAAGGATATGCTCTTATATTAATTCTCCTTCAAATTTATGAGTGCGATCATTTGGAATTTTCCTTTTTGAAATTTTTTATTATGTTTGGGATAATCTTCTAAGTAAGCAAAAACATTCATAAACTTGATTTTTTCCTGCACAAATGAATAATTATTTGTGATTATCATCTTCATTTACTTCCTACAAGAAATTGAATTATTATTAAGATTATAAAATGAAAATTTGGGTCTCTTTGGCGTTTTTAATAAACCCTTGTACAACGACTACAGATTAGATAAAAGATAATAAAAATTGAAAGACTAAATGAATAAGTTGAAAACATAATTAGAGGAAGATAAAATGAACCAAACAAATAGGATAGGTAAATTATAACTTTTAGATACATAATTGTAAGAATTGAAAGCAATCTAATAACAAAACCAAAGATAAAATTAGGGTTCATAAGCTTTTAGAGATAACTTCAATTTGCAAGAAGAATTGTTTAGTGAATGATTTAAATAATTTGAAAAATTAATGTAAAAGTGAAAGATTTCTATAATGTCAACATTTTATTAATATGATTAAGCTAAAAATTGATTTTTATATAGATTTTGACGATAATTCTGCTTGAGCAGATTTCTATATATCTAGCAAGATAGTGACTCAACCAATTAAACAAATTATTTATCAATATAATAGGTCTGAATTATCCTACAAGAGGGATGGCTGGATACATTTCATTAAGAGGAGCTAATCTCTTTGAGAATTTGCAATCCAGTCAAGCAAAAATTTTTAGTAAAACTACAACTAAAATCTTCATTATAGAAACTTGTTTGATATTACAATTCTACCTGATCATAAAATAAAGGTGTTTAGTATTGTTTAAGCTAAGCAATCGCATTTTATTATTATTATCATTCAAATTAACACAATATAATTCTCAAAATAACAAGGTAAGTTTAGCAAAATGTAATTCCTGAAAGTTTGCTAATTATAATTATTTTTACCTTCTTATTTACCTTATAAATATAGCAATAATTCGGACACATGAAAACTAGAATGATAATTAATTATACGATCATAGGACAATGGAGTCTAGTGGATCTGAAAATAAAACTTATTAAACCTAAACAATATATTAATCTAAAACACATTAATGCTTACCTAAGAATTTTAGTAGTTCCAAAAGAGGAATTAATAAATTTAATATTTTATGAGGTAATTATAATTGGAGTATAAATATCAAGTAAATAAAGAGATAAGATACTTCCTTATGGAACTCCATTTTTAAAGCAATATTTTATTTATTATTTAGAGTATATTATTAAGAAATAAGTGCTTTTAAGAATAATAATTCAGTTTCAGGTAATATTTACTTCTCCTATATGTAATTAAATAATAAACTTAAATTCGCAGTACAACGACGGTAAATTGTTGAAATTGTAGGGAGCTATGAATGAAGAGAAGAAGAAATTGTTATTAGAAGCTATTAATAATTTCTCAAAGAATAACGACTTTGCAAAATTGAGGGCAATACTTGCTAAATTCAAAAGAAATTCAAGCGTCACTGCCGTTCAAGATAGATTCTTTGCTAAATTGTTTGCAACATAATTTGGAGGTGCTATTGTAGCTTTCTAAAAATGGAAGAATTTACCTGAACCAGTCAACACTGAATAATTAAAGAATGCAAGAAAATTTGAGAGAAAATTAGACATTCTTTTCCACACTCACTTAAAGGTGTCATTTGACCCATTAAAAGAAGATTATATGGATGCTTAAAATATAAAGAGAATGTGTTTAAGAAAGATTTTCGAGAAGAGTATGAGTGCTCATAAGAGATTATTCTTACTTTGGGCATAATAAAATAGATAAGCTAAATAAATTGAATTGTGCAAATTAACTACAAGTTTATTTGTTGGTTTAGCTTAAATTGTAACTGCAAATGTTTAACCAATCATGTAAAATCCTCGAGAAGCTTAAACTAAAGAAAAAGCCTTACATTTAATATTCTAAGGGTAAACTGAAAATTTACTAAGAGCATTCTTTAAATGGAGAAATTGGGCTTAATAGGAGCGAATGAATGATAATTTTTTGAATGAAATTTAATCTGAACAACGAAAGGAATTAATAGATAGGTTATAAGGATTCTGTAATGGAAATAAATTAAACTTATTCAGACTTATTTTAGCTAAATTCTCGTTAGCTCATAAGAAAGAGAGATTGATTCTTTAAATTAATGCAAGAATTTTAAGAACTTAAATAGGAGCAGTTTGGGATACATTTAACAAATGGAAGAATCTACCTGAGGCTAATGCTGAAGAATTAGTTAAAGCAAGCAAATTTGAAGCATAATTAAATAAATTTGCTCTTCATATATGGAGGAAGAGAACCTGGAACCCTCTTCAAGAAGTTTATGATGATGCACAAGCTTTAAAGAAGAGAGCCATAATTTTAATGATCAAGACACAAGAATCAGAATAATAAAGAGCATTGGACTAATGGAACAAGAATGTTGGTTTAATTAAGGAAGTAGAAAGATGTAAATGCGTCATAGGATTGTTTGGATTTATAGGTTTACATATTAAAAATAATATTGCACCTTTGAAACCAGATGAAGAATCACAAAAGAAAGAAAAAGCATTGCTTAGACTTATTGGTAACTTCGATAGCAACTTAAGATATTTCTTTATGAAATGGTATAATGATGGAAAATTGTTGAAATTGTAGGGAGCTATGAATGAAGAGAAGAAGAAATTGTTATTAGAAGCTATTAATAATTTCTCAAAGAATAACGACTTTGCAAAATTGAGGGCAATACTTGCTAAATTCAAAAGAAATTCAAGCGTCACTGCCGTTCAAGATAGATTCTTTGCTAAATTGTTTGCAACATAATTTGGAGGTGCTATTGTAGCTTTCTAAAAATGGAAGAATTTACCTGAACCAGTCAACACTGAATAATTAAAGAATGCAAGAAAATTTGAGAGAAAATTAGACATTCTTTTCCACACTCACTTAAAGGTGTCATTTGACCCATTAAAAGAAGATTATATGGATGCTTAAAATATAAAGAGAATGTGTTTAAGAAAGATTTTCGAGAAGAGTATGAGTGCTCATAAGAGATTATTCTTACTTTGGGCATAATAAAATAGATAAGCTAAATAAATTGAATTGTGCAAATTAACTACAAGTTTATTTGTTGGTTTAGCTTAAATTGTAACTGCAAATGTTTAACCAATCATGTAAAATCCTCGAGAAGCATAAGCTAAAGAAAAAGCTCTTCATTTGATATTCCAAGGTTAAGCTGAAAACTTAAGCAGAGCATTCTTTTTGTGGAGAAATAAAACTTAATAAGATAGAATGCATTAGAACTTTGAAGATGCTTTAACAGTTGAAAAGAAAAAACAATTGACAGAATAATTAGTATAATTTGAACATGGCAATAAATTCGCTCTGTATAGAGCAATTTTAGCTAAATTCTCGTTAGCTCATAAGAAAGAGAGATTGATTCTTTAAATTAATGCAAGAATTTTAAGAACTTAAATAGGAGCAGTTTGGGATACATTTAACAAATGGAAGAATCTACCTGAGGCTAATGCTGAAGAATTAGTTAAAGCAAGCAAATTTGAAGCATAATTAAATAAATTTGCTCTTCATATATGGAGGAAGAGAACCTGGAACCCTCTTCAAGAAGTTTATGATGATGCACAAGCTTTAAAGAAGAGAGCCATAATTTTAATGATCAAGACACAAGAATCAGAATAATAAAGAGCATTGGACTAATGGAACAAGAATGTTGGTTTAATTAAGGAAGTAGAAAGATGTAAATGCGTCATAGGATTGTTTGGATTTATAGGTTTACATATTAAAAATAATATTGCACCTTTGAAACCAGATGAAGAATCACAAAAGAAAGAAAAAGCATTGCTTAGACTTATTGGTAACTTCGATAGCAACTTAAGATATTTCTTTATGAAATGGTATAATGATGGAAAATTGTTGAAATTGTAGGGAGCTATGAATGAAGAGAAGAAGAAATTGTTATTAGAAGCTATTAATAATTTCTCAAAGAATAACGACTTTGCAAAATTGAGGGCAATACTTGCTAAATTCAAAAGAAATTCAAGCGTCACTGCCGTTCAAGATAGATTCTTTGCTAAATTGTTTGCAACATAATTTGGAGGTGCTATTGTAGCTTTCTAAAAATGGAAGAATTTACCTGAACCAGTCAACACTGAATAATTAAAGAATGCAAGAAAATTTGAGAGAACATTAGATTTACTGTTCAGAGGTAGACTTAAGGCATCCTTAGAACCATTAAAAGATGTTTATCAAGATGGTAATAACAAAAAGTTATATTGCCTCAGGAAATTATTTACTCTTGCTATGGGATAAAATAAAAGATTATTTTTATATTGGAGAGACATTAATAAATTACATAAATCAATAGAAACATGTAAATATACAACAAATCTATTTTAAACTCTTGCTCTTACGTTAGCAGGACATGTCTAAACAATATTCAAGCCTAATAAAAAATAAGAAAGTGTTTTGAATAAAATGTTAATGAATTACAGCAATGCTTTAAGATGGGCTTTTGCTCATTGGAATAATTAAGCCAAGTAATCTAAAATTTAATCATAACTTGATGATGAAAAGAAAAAGTTGTTATTATTTGCTTTACATAGAAATTTAAGAACAAATGATCAAGGCAAATTAAGAGATATTTTAAGAAAGTTTGAATAGGCAAGATAAAAATAAGCTTTAATAAAAAAAATATAAATTTAATTATTGCATACTTTAGTAGGGTAAATAGAGGTTTCCTTCCAAAAATGGAAAGCTTTACCTGAAAATAAAGAATTAGATCTAATGAAAGCGAGTGTCTTTGAAAAATCTCTTAATCGATTCAAAATTCACATGGTTAGAAAAACAACTTTCAATCATTTATACAATATTTATCTTGATGGATAGGCAAAATAAAAGTACGCTGTAAATAAAATGTTATATAGTTGTATGAGTGCTTAAAAGAAAGCATTTTTAAAATGGTACAAAATTATTGAATTTAGCAGAGCAGCTGAAGCTTTTAATATATCAGATAAGAAGAAACTTGCAATTCAATTATTCTACTAACATAAAATGAACTAGCTAAATGTTGCTTTTGTGGAATGGAAACGCTTATCATCAAACTTGACAAATAAAAAGGAGTCTGCTTAAGAAAGAGAAATTAGATTGAAGAGAGAGGCAATTTTATTATTCTAAAATTTTGCCTAAATAAAATTAAGAATATATTTCTAAAGATGGAATATTAGAGCTGTTAAGAAGAATATGATCTCAGTATTTAATGCAATTTAAAAATTACTTCTATTCAGTATGAAGCAGGATAGAGAATTAATGAAAGAAGCATTGAATATTTGGAGAGGACCTAAACTATAAAATTAATGGTTCTAGAGAGTAGCTGAAATGATTGCAAAAAATACAAGAATCACTCCCTAAATCGCTTTTTGGAGAATGAGAGACAATGCAACTACATAAAGAGCAGTCAGCTTGAATACTTTATAAATAGTTAAATGCAAAAAGTTGATAAATAATTTACTAAAGGCATATGACAGAGTTAGATAAAGAGCATTTACTAATATTGAACATTTTGGAAGAGGAATTACTGATGCAAGTTCATTCTAACCATCACATTCAAGTTTCTTATAATAAACCCCTGTAAGAGATTCATTAGCAAAATCTTAAGTGGAATCAATTTTATTAAAGAATAGTCAATAAGTAGCACTCAATACATTGTAAAGAGTGTTCCGCAGACATTTGAAATTAAGATTCACCGAGTTAGTATTAATAGCTTCGTAATGTTAAAAATTAGGTGAATAAATGTTGAAGAGTTCAATTTAATCAACCCAGTATAAATTCATTCATAGAAAAATGGCAACTGAGAAATTGATTGGCATAATAGAGAGAAATGTCTAATTAAAAGAATTAGTATTTTTCAATTCAATAGCTAATGTATAATATTTAATTTGAATATTAGTAATCTGATCCTGATTTGCTGAAAAGAATGAATGAATTAATAGAAGAAAATAGTAGATTAAGAGACTAAGCAACTAATGATGAGACTATTAATTCTAAAGATTAATAAATCTCAGAATAGTAAAGATTAATTTAGGATTTAAATACAAGACTTGATAGAATGAGAGGTTAACGGTATATCATAATTATATCATAATAGGATAATAAAATCTTTAGAAGATTATGAGGATCATTTAGTTGAAGATGGGTTTTTAGCAATTAAAGAGAGTAAAAGAAATTGATTTGTTTTGAAAAAAATATTTCATTCACAATAAAAATCAAAATTAATTTTCATCATTTATACTATAATAATAAAGGTCAAAATTGTAAATTTAGCTTTATCATTTACAAAATTATCTTAATTTGTCTTATATTCTATGAGAATTTTTGCAATTATAACATTATTAAAATAAATAATATTAACATGGGTAATAAAACATAATGTTGCACTCATTTTGGATAAAGCTTAAAAAAGAAAATATGGAGGATAGTCTGTAATAAATAAATGGAAATAAGTACGTTTAAATGAAGAGGAAATTAGGTTAGGNAGGAGTCTGCTTAAGAAAGAGAAATTAGATTGAAGAGAGAGGCAATTTTATTATTCTAAAATTTTGCCTAAATAAAATTAAGAATATATTTCTAAAGATGGAATATTAGAGCTGTTAAGAAGAATATGATCTCAGTATTTAATGCAATTTAAAAATTACTTCTATTCAGTATGAAGCAGGATAGAGAATTAATGAAAGAAGCATTGAATATTTGGAGAGGACCTAAACTATAAAATTAATGGTTCTAGAGAGTAGCTGAAATGATTGCAAAAAATACAAGAATCACTCCCTAAATCGCTTTTTGGAGAATGAGAGACAATGCAACTACATAAAGAGCAGTCAGCTTGAATACTTTATAAATAGTTAAATGCAAAAAGTTGATAAATAATTTACTAAAGGCATATGACAGAGTTAGATAAAGAGCATTTACTAATATTGAACATTTTGGAAGAGGAATTACTGATGCAAGTTCATTCTAACCATCACATTCAAGTTTCTTATAATAAACCCCTGTAAGAGATTCATTAGCAAAATCTTAAGTGGAATCAATTTTATTAAAGAATAGTCAATAAGTAGCACTCAATACATTGTAAAGAGTGTTCCGCAGACATTTGAAATTAAGATTCACCGAGTTAGTATTAATAGCTTCGTAATGTTAAAAATTAGGTGAATAAATGTTGAAGAGTTCAATTTAATCAACCCAGTATAAATTCATTCATAGAAAAATGGCAACTGAGAAATTGATTGGCATAATAGAGAGAAATGTCTAATTAAAAGAATTAGTATTTTTCAATTCAATAGCTAATGTATAATATTTAATTTGAATATTAGTAATCTGATCCTGATTTGCTGAAAAGAATGAATGAATTAATAGAAGAAAATAGTAGATTAAGAGACTAAGCAACTAATGATGAGACTATTAATTCTAAAGATTAATAAATCTCAGAATAGTAAAGATTAATTTAGGATTTAAATACAAGACTTGATAGAATGAGAGGTTAACGGTATATCATAATTATATCATAATAGGATAATAAAATCTTTAGAAGATTATGAGGATCATTTAGTTGAAGATGGGTTTTTAGCAATTAAAGAGAGTAAAAGAAATTGATTTGTTTTGAAAAAAATATTTCATTCACAATAAAAATCAAAATTAATTTTCATCATTTATACTATAATAATAAAGGTCAAAATTGTAAATTTAGCTTTATCATTTACAAAATTATCTTAATTTGTCTTATATTCTATGAGAATTTTTGCAATTATAACATTATTAAAATAAATAATATTAACATGGGTAATAAAACATAATGTTGCACTCATTTTGGATAAAGCTTAAAAAAGAAAATATGGAGGATAGTCTGTAATAAATAAATGGAAATAAGTACGTTTAAATGAAGAGGAAATTAGGTTAGGTACAGTTGTTGCCAAATTGTTCTTACATTACAGATGTTTCTACTGATTTCAAGCGAATGAATCTTACAAGTGAGTTTAAGATAATTAATAGATAATGTTCATATTTACACTAATAAAATGACTGATTCAATATAGCCCCATGAGAGAAAAAAAATCAATTAATGCATGATTAATTGTTTACAATTAGCGGCAAACTTAGGAGTCAAATCAATACATTTCCATTGTTGAAACCATTCAATGGAAATATTTCTAAATCTAAAATAGCAGCAATAAAGTTATTTGCAATCAAGTAATTTATTAGAGATAATCCAAAGAGTTCTTTAGAAGAAATTATAATTAGCTCTTAAGTAATTTTATCAATTTCTAAATTAGGGAACTTAAGTTATTCGTTGATTTACATCAGATGCGAAAAATCTGCATTAAATAACAAAAAACTTAAAAAATAATTCTATTTCCATTAAGATGAAAATGATAAATTGATTAGATGAAGGTTGATGATTTAATCAAATTTTTCAACGCATATAAAGGTGGAAATGATGCTAATAAACAAAAGTTCATTTTGATTTTCTTACCCATTTAATTTTTAATTTTTTAAAGTTTTTTTTTATTTTAGAAGCGAACCTAAGCTGTTTTCGGCAGTAAATATAGTGTTAAAAGAAATTTTCATAAACTTCTAAACATCTACTGAATAATAAGCTAGATAAAAATATAAAGGAAATTTTAAGTCATTTATAATTCAGAATTTGAACGAATCATGGTTTACTATTATTCAGCTCTTTTCAGTGAAAACCATAATTCCATTGGTATGACTGATGTTGGGATGAAAGCTTTGTTATGTAAACCCTTAATTATTGATAATGACCTTAACTTTCTTGGGTAATAAAACATCCAAACCAAAATTTGAAAATTTGAAAATATTTCTGGAGTGGATTTAAATCCTTCAATATAATAATTTCCAAATAACTCTCAATCAATACAGAAATTATTAAATAATAACAATTTTTTAAGAGACATACGCAGAAAAGATGTCATTGATGAAATAAAAAGAGAGTAATATGATGTTGAAAGATTTGCTTTATATTCATACTTTTCAATAAATTTGCAAATTAAGAAAATGAACTTTATGTTTCTTTAAAACAACTAAATTTACAGGACAAATTAATTTTATAAGATTGAATTAGATCATAGAATAAGAAGATAAAAAATTTTTCGAAAAATTTATACATCAAGAATGAGTGTTTTATTGAAATAATTTAGATTGAGATAAAGATTATTAATTGCCTCTTTAAAAATAAAATAAAATTGAAAGCAAGTGAAGTTATCAACACATAATCAAAATCAATTGCTTAATAATATTATTTCTTTTCTAGTTTAAATTAATCATTTTTGAAAAATTAATCACAAAAGTACACTTTTATTAATCTGTTGCGATTTCATTCACTACCTTTATAGAATAATTTCTAAAGATTATTAAATAAATTTTAGGAGGCTAAAATAAATGGAAAAATTAATTTGATTGGAGTTTAAAAACTTCTAGATATAAGTAAATATTTCATTTTGAATATTAAAGATAATCATGTTTAACAAAAAAATTCATTAAAAGAAAAAGAAAAGATTATTTTTTTAATTTCTCCAGAAATGGATATCTTAATGTAGATTGTTAACCTTTAAAAGCATACCTGCTGAAATTGCATAATTGACTAATATATACTCATAACTTAAACTTTTACATATGTTATATTTTCTGTTTTATATAACCTACTCTATTTAATAATTGTCATATTTTTGAAAAAATAGTCTCTTTTAGTAGTTCACTTTAAATAGTTATAGATATCCTCCTACAAAAAATATGTTTTCCTCAACTATAAGGCATAATGTCATTTATTAAAGAAAAATATGGGAGAATCTCGGATGAAGAAAATATCAATGATTTAGTTAAATTATATTTCATATCAATATTCATTCTCTTAATTTATTTAATCTTTAGATTAATCCAGTTTGTGGATATCTTTTTTAATTTTTATATATTCTTCTGCCTTTTTTTGAAACTTTCGAGAGTAAAAAATGGCTAATAATATCAAGACTGAAGCTATGAATAGGAACATAATCATAATATAAACTATTTCAGAAAACTTAGAATATATCGTAGAAATAGTGTTAACTAATGATTGTAATAGATAAAAATTTACAATATAATTTTCCTTCAAATTTACAGCTTGTTGCCGGAGCTATTGTCCTTCTATTATTGCAACCATCAGCAAAAGCTATAAAAGATACAGCTTCTTAATTGTCCCCTATTCTATCATCACACTAAATAAATGATTCAATAATGGAGATCTCATTTATTTAAATGAGATTTTTAGATCTTGTTATTAGGTGATAGTTTATTCCAAAACTATTCATGAAATGAACATAACTTACATTCTAATGTCTGATATATAGAGGAAATGCTATTGATTTATTAACATAAATACATATTTCATCACTAAATTAACATAAAACTTTATGAATCCCTTTATATGAAATTAAAATTATTAGATCATTAAATTAATACAATTTATCATATTCTTCAAACAATTTATTTCCTGAAGAAAAAAATACATAATTATTTGTCAAATATGAAATTTTTTATCCTGATATTGACAAACTTTTCATTTCCATATTCTAGCTTAAGTAGTCTTCTATCTATAATACATTTTAACTAAATGTTATTTTAATAACCTTATAAAATGGAAATTATATATAAATAGAACTTTATTAAATCATTAGAATTTAACTTTCCTTCAAGATTAATTCGATCTGATTAATTTTTATTAATTTTCTTAAATCAAATGAATATTAGATCATTTTATCCTCAAAACCAACAAATAAAAAACCATTAGCACATGTAATCCAAATTGGTTATGATTATAATTCTAAAATATCTTCAAAACTCTTTGAAATTTTATCAAAAAGAATTAGTTTTTGTTAATCATTTAGAATAAAGACGAATCTTTCCTCTAATTATGCTAAAGCTATTCCATTAGTTATATTGTAGGAACTCCTTTCAATGCTGCTAATATAATTAGCTTAACCGTTTCTAAAGTGATATGTACTCAATGAAAAGTTTGTAAAAATTATCTAGATCACAGTAAGTTACTAACTCTCTAAAACAAATAGAGTTTTCTATTCATTATCGAATAAAGAAGTAGTAATATTATCAAATGGAATGGAGATAGGATTAATCGAATCAAATTGATAAGGTATTGTTTTACATATTGTTGTTTTTGGATTAAGAATTTCAATTGATTTTACAAATTCAAACCATAGTTAATTATTATGATCTAAGAAAATTTCATTTAATTTTTCTTTGTAATAATCTACATGAATAGGATTATTTAGTTTAATTGTTTATGAAAATGCAATTGTAATTGTTATTAATAGAGGTTATAGTCTAGACATTTTTATTTAATAATTTTGTTCTGGTATTAGGATAATAATATATTTAAAATAATTTCTAAAATATTATAATTATTTAAATTAAAAAATACATAATTTAATAATTATAGTTCTTTGATTATGAGCCTAAAATAAAGTAATGAAAAAGCCATCAAACTTAAACCATCCAATAATAAACTAATCATATATAAATTGCCTCTCTCCATTCACAGAATTGTTAAATTGTTAATTTTTATTTAAACAGTGAATTAAAGAATTTTTATATGATTAGAAAACTTATGACTCTAGAATCAATAAACTCAAGTGAAGATAATATTTTAGTCAAATACAATTCGTAAAATTTACTCAAGATCTTCTGTAAAAAGAGTAAATTTATAAAGTAATAATTTTATTTTTCAATTTATCAAATAACCAAAATTATAATTGTTTTCCATGAATGCTACTCAATTCGAAATTCTAATTAATGTGAATTTATTCAGTAGCTAATCTTAAGGTTCGATTAAATATTGATTAAATAATACTTATTAAATAATACGCACATATTAATTTAATATTTTAGTTTATTATCTTGCACCTCCTAAATCAACTGTTATTTCATAAGATGAATTTCTGATTATTATATTTAAATTAGTGAGTCTTATTTTTTTGAACTTTACAGTTTTTACTTAGCATTTCATTTTATTATATAATTATATTAATTTTAATTCATTGCTATAATTCCTATTATAAATCGTTTAACAATTTTTGTTCCTCTTCTTAGATCTTTTATAAATCCTGCTTTGATGGTTCCAATTTTATTATTCTATTACTTTCATTCAATAGCTCACTTCTAGTCATTCTACCTCTTGCATTAATATAATTAATTAAACTCTATTTTCTATAAAACGAATAAATACTTCAATTTCATTTTATCTGATATGAATATACTTACCTCTTTCATCTATTAGTCCATTTAATTATCCCAAAATTTCTAACTGTTTTATTTTGTCCACAACTTCAGTTGTACTTATACTTAATTCAGCACTGACTTCTTCCAACTATACTACTTTTCTTAATTTAATATAATTTGCTAATTTTTCATTAAATTCTTTGTTTTTTTGTTCTTCTTCTTCGACTGACAATCTCATAGTTCCGCTCTATTCAACTTAGAACATACTCTATTGTTTAATTTAATATAATTTACACTCCATTTATCAAATTCCTCTTATTCTTTTAATTTTTATTCTGCTTCAATCTTTTTTCTCCATTCCTCTTCTTCTTATTCTTATTATTCTCTTTACCTTTCTTTTTCTTCATATTCTTTGCTTCTTTTTTCATTTTTCTTTTCTAACATTTCTATTTATTATCTAATATATTATTATTGTTATTGTTTCTTCTATTTTCTAGCTTCTCTTTTTGCTTATTATTCTGCATTCTATACATCTAACTCTCTATCTGATTCATCATCTGATTCTACTTCAACTCTATTTATTTATCTTCTTTATTATTATTATTGTTATTATTGCTATTATCCTTATTACTAAACTTATGCTTATTGTTAACCTTATTAAACTACTGTTTATTATTTGTTTTTTTTCTTTACAAACAATAAGTAATAACTTCCTCCCATTACTAAAATAGAAACCAATAAAAACACTATATCGAAATTCATAAATTATATTTATTTATCATAATTTATAATCTATTTAAATATTTCAAATTATTCATCTATATAAATAATAACATAAGATTATATCAGATAATAACGTCATAATAATTGGAAATTAAAAAACTTCAATATATATAGATTATACTAAGTTCATTAATAAAAATGAGATAACAAAATTTGAAGAATAATATTGGAATATCAAAATATTTAATTTTTTTATTTGTTTCATTTATATATTTAATTATTAGTTTAATTACATCATATTAATTATTTTAAATAAAAATTTTGATGTATCTTTAAATAAGAGATAGTGAAGAAGACTTATTTTGTAGAAATATATTTGATAAATATAGTCTAAAGAATTATTCTTGTAATGTGATTGTGGTTTAAGTGTTTATATAGTGCATTGAAATCTAGAATATGATTGGATTATAAACTAAAATAAGAATATTGAAAACTGATTTAGTTTGAAGATAAATAAATAAAAAGCAATGTCATCCGGTGGAAAAGGAAGGAAGGCTGCTGGTGCTCATAAATCAGTTTCTAAATCACATAAAGCTGGTTTAAAATTCCCTGTTGGAAGTTTCAAGATATTTAAAATAAGGTAGATATACAGAAAGAGTAGGTGCAGGTGCTCTTGTTTATTTATCGGCTGTGCTTGAATATTTGACTGCTAAAGTTTTGCTGATGGAGGTGTATTACCATATATCCCTCTTTATTTATACTCAGTTAAAGAAGATCCAAGCCAAGCAGTTTGATTTAAATTGATTATTCGTATAATTAATAAAATAATTATATAAATTTTAAATAATGCAAGAGTAAATAATCTAAGAAAGTTATTCATATTTGGATGATTTAAATACAAAGGTCTAACATACTAATACGTTGGTATTACATTAATACTCAATAGGTTGATGTTTTTAAAGCATTTATTAGAAATATTCATCAATCATTTTGTACTTTATCCATGTAATTAAATGAATTTTCTGAATAATTTTACACATAATTGGTAAAGACACCAGAGGAAAACGAGTTGAATTTATTCTATTTCAATCTATTGTCAAATACCATAATCAACCTATCACATAATTTGGAAGAATTAATGGCTGATATGGATTCGGATATAATTCAACCTTATGAAGATTTCTCAATTAATTATTATTAAACAAATAGTACCTTAATTATAAAAGCAAGAGAGTTTTTAAAATAAGTCTAAACTTAAAGAGAGTCTCTATTTAATAAATAATAAGATTATCTAAAGACAGCTTATGATTTGGAAAAAAGGAAGAATTCTAAATAATTGTAAATAAAGGCTGATGAATTATTTGTAGATTACAGATAAGAATTAGCTATTGTTAATTAATTATGGCATATATTTAATGAAAAATTTAAATCATAATTTGATGAATATGATAAAAATGAATTAACAAGAACATAACTTACTAAAACGACTACAGAAAAAGTTGTATCTCACATTTCTAAAGTTACAAATGTTTTAAATTAAAAATTATAATAAGTTTTGGTCTCTTCAAATGAAAAATTTTCGCTGATATAAAATAAGCATTCGAATGAAAAATAACCTATTTTAAAAAACATTATGAGAAATAGGACCTTCAATATTTTTAAGGTTACAAAATAAGATAATTTTATAACTTATGAAGATTGGATTGCAAATATTAATTCTCATGATAAATTTGATCCTGTTAATCTTTAAAAATTTAAATTGACATAATAAATGGAATAACAAATAAACTTATTGATTGATCTAATCTAATAGGCAAAAAAATAAGATTATAATAAGTAATAATTTTAATCAATAATTGATATTGATTTTGAAACATTATTTTAATATTAAGATACAAGAATCAAATTACTTGATAGTATAATCCAAATAATAGATTAATCACCTACGGATGTTATTGTAATTAATCCATCATCAAATGATCTTTTAATATTAATTGCTAAACATTTAATTCTAAGTAAAAATTATTATTAATTATTTAAGATTTATAAAAGGATTAAAATTTTAATGTAATTGAATTCAATTCATTATTGAATTTTATTACATAATTTGGAATGAGAGAAAAAAATCAGTTTATTACAATAGGATAATAAGCTAGTGAAAAAACATTTTTGTTTTACGAAAAAAATAAATGGTAATAGTTATTATTGTATTTGAATGAAAAAGAAAACTTGGAAATAACAAAAAAAGGTGAAAAAAACAATTAAAATAATAGTAAATCTATCAAACCTAAAAAAACATAAATAATTAATTTATTATATCAAAAAAAGAGAATAATAAAAGAATAAATGACTTAGGAATAGAGGTTAAATTATTTAAAAGTTTTATTGAATTTGTAAAAGATTTGTTCAATAATGCTTAAATTAGATATAAAAATAGACTATGCAAGTGAAACTATTATAATATTATCTAAAATGTGTAATATTAGAGTTCAAGATATAGTTTTATTGTTAGAATAATTTGAGTCTATAAAGATATATATGGAATAGATTTAGCCATAATCACCTAAGACTCAATAATAAATAATGGAAAAAAAACGATTATTTTATACATTAAAAAAATGTTTAAAATATTTACCATTATCTGATTAATTAACTATTGTTTAAATTAATAAGGAATTCTCNTTAAATCATAATTTGATGAATATGATAAAAATGAATTAACAAGAACATAACTTACTAAAACGACTACAGAAAAAGTTGTATCTCACATTTCTAAAGTTACAAATGTTTTAAATTAAAAATTATAATAAGTTTTGGTCTCTTCAAATGAAAAATTTTCGCTGATATAAAATAAGCATTCGAATGAAAAATAACCTATTTTAAAAAACATTATGAGAAATAGGACCTTCAATATTTTTAAGGTTACAAAATAAGATAATTTTATAACTTATGAAGATTGGATTGCAAATATTAATTCTCATGATAAATTTGATCCTGTTAATCTTTAAAAATTTAAATTGACATAATAAATGGAATAACAAATAAACTTATTGATTGATCTAATCTAATAGGCAAAAAAATAAGATTATAATAAGTAATAATTTTAATCAATAATTGATATTGATTTTGAAACATTATTTTAATATTAAGATACAAGAATCAAATTACTTGATAGTATAATCCAAATAATAGATTAATCACCTACGGATGTTATTGTAATTAATCCATCATCAAATGATCTTTTAATATTAATTGCTAAACATTTAATTCTAAGTAAAAATTATTATTAATTATTTAAGATTTATAAAAGGATTAAAATTTTAATGTAATTGAATTCAATTCATTATTGAATTTTATTACATAATTTGGAATGAGAGAAAAAAATCAGTTTATTACAATAGGATAATAAGCTAGTGAAAAAACATTTTTGTTTTACGAAAAAAATAAATGGTAATAGTTATTATTGTATTTGAATGAAAAAGAAAACTTGGAAATAACAAAAAAAGGTGAAAAAAACAATTAAAATAATAGTAAATCTATCAAACCTAAAAAAACATAAATAATTAATTTATTATATCAAAAAAAGAGAATAATAAAAGAATAAATGACTTAGGAATAGAGGTTAAATTATTTAAAAGTTTTATTGAATTTGTAAAAGATTTGTTCAATAATGCTTAAATTAGATATAAAAATAGACTATGCAAGTGAAACTATTATAATATTATCTAAAATGTGTAATATTAGAGTTCAAGATATAGTTTTATTGTTAGAATAATTTGAGTCTATAAAGATATATATGGAATAGATTTAGCCATAATCACCTAAGACTCAATAATAAATAATGGAAAAAAAACGATTATTTTATACATTAAAAAAATGTTTAAAATATTTACCATTATCTGATTAATTAACTATTGTTTAAATTAATAAGGAATTCTCATAATTAAATATGAAAGTGAAATAAAAATACTTATGTTTAAATAATCTAACAGAACGATTATCAATCAAAAGAAAACTCTTATGGATTAGTTTATTGTAACCTGAGTGTATTTAACTTGATTACTACAAATTAAAGGAAAAATATTCTAAATAGGCTGGAACCAAGGAAGCAACCTTAGAACATTAAATTGCTTAAGATGTTTAAAGATCATTTAATAGTGGAGGTTAATAAAGCAAAATTAATCATCTTACATTGCATAATTTACTTAAACTATATGCATATTATAATAATACAATCTCATATACATAAGGGATGAATTTTGTAATGGGCTTTATATTTACTATAATGATTGAAGAGGAATTAACATTTAGATGTTTTGCAGCATTGATTAATCAATTATTAAAAGATGTATTACTCTATGATCTTAAGTATATAAGAGTATTCTTTTATAAATTGGATAGATTATTGGCAATATTTATACCAAAAGTTCATTAGCATTTGAAAGATGAGAAAATTGAAGCAGGCCATTATTCTGCCCCATGGTTTATTACTTTATTCACAGGATCATTTATGAAAAACGAATTTTCAACTGTTCTTTTTGACATATGGGATGTATTATTAAGTCGTGGTTGGTGTGGATTTTATTAAATTATTTTGGGAATATTTTCAACTTATGAAGAAAAGATATTATCAATGAAATTTGATATTTTGTTATAATTTTTAAATAATTTAAGTAAAGCTGAATTTTTCACATAAAATACAGATGTATATATCTAAACATTATAATTAGGAAATAGCATCATTAAAAACATTGAAGAATCGTGCTCTCAAATTTAAGGTAACAAACAAATTAATTGGTGAATTAGACAAAGAATACTATTTAGTAAGATAGAAGATTAATAATTTAATGAACTCTTGATTTGTATAATATATAAATTAATAATCAATTAAAATTATCTATTGTAATATCATAATTTAATTTCCAATTTAATGAAATTCTCAGCAAATTGAGAAATTTTGTTGTATTTTTTAACTAAATGATACAAAAAAGATATGTGTAAATTTTAAATAAAATATTGCTTCTTTAAAAAAAATATAATGCAGAAATTACTTCAGAATTATATTAGGAAATAAATAATATACTTGTATATTCTTAGATATAATTATATTTAGAATTCAATTTATTAATAATAAAATAATACTAAGCTATTTAAGTGTTGTTATTATCTTGGAGACCTCTGTTTAAAAATCACCTATGTGAATTGTGTTTAATTAAATTAAGTAATTATATTAAAAACTAATTAAATTGAAACCATATAATACTTAATATGATATTTCTTTTCAATCATTGTATTTCACTTTTATACCTATTTCTAAGAACATTTAATTAATTTCCTAAGATATTCATTTAAAGAATGGCTTAATAGAAACTAATCAAAATATAAATTAAATAGAGGTTAGATCAAAAATTCGATGTTTATTATTCGATTCATCATAAAAATATTATATCAAATTGGTATCACACAATATAGAATGCAAATCATTTTATGAATGTAGATTTCAGTCTTTGTATTAATTAAAATTAGAATTTGAAGCCTTTAAAAAAACTTAAAACTATTGACTATATCTCTTGTCAATTTTAGAGTAGATTTTTGATTAAATATAATAAATTCATAAGATTTGTTATAAATCATTGATTTAGGAATTGAAATTGCATAATAATGTTTTTCAAATGTTTGATAGGCTTTTAAGATATAGAAAGATTTAATCAGTAATTATCATTTTATATATAATTTATTAAAATCTATTAATTATCGGTATTAAATTTAGAAATTATGAAAAAAATAAATTTAATTTCAAGGTAGATGATAACAAAAATATATAATATTTAAATTTGTTAAATCTATGGATCCTAAAAAACTAATAGATGATTTAAATGATATCTTATTGAGTGAATTCTATCGTTTTAAGGAGATTTTAGGGAGAGGAAGTTTTGGTGTTGTCATTGCTGCTTATAGTTCCTAATTAGATAAAATAGTGGCTATAAAAGTAAATATTGTTTAAAAATTTAAGGTTACTGCTCATTTTTAGTAAGATATAGAGTCATATCTATTGTAAGAGTGTTCTCATCCAAATATAGTTTAATTCTATAGAGTGTTGTATGCAAATCACAAAATTTATTTGATAATGGAGAAGCTCAATGGATAAACATTAGATGTAGTGATGAGACAGAGAAATTTAAATGAAATTTAGGTCAGATACATCATGCATTAATTATTAAATGCATTAGTATTTCTACATCACAAAGGAATAATACATAGAGACTTGAAGCCATGTAAATATTGTAATTAATGTAAAAAATATCTTTTTATGTGCCAATAACTAGGTTAAATTGATAGATTTGGGATTGAGCTACTAGATCTTTTGTAGAGGCATTATTGGCCAATAAATTGGTACTCCTTTATACATAGCACCTGAAATGATAAATGGTGGAGAATAAACATAGGCAGTTGACATATTTTCATTGGGTATTATCTATTTTTAGATGATGTGTAATAATAAGCATCCTATTTGGTATGAAGGGTTATCAAAGAAAGATTATTATTAAATAATCTCCTAAGACTTTACTTTAACTTATCCTGAGAATCTTTCTGAGTAAATAATTTATCAACAGTAGAATGTCCTAGGATTTCATAAAAAACACATTATGTCCTAATCATTTTGATAGAATGTCAGCTGAACAATGTCTAGAGCATCCTTGGATGTTAGGAGAACAGATTAAATCACATCCAATTAGTAATAGAGAGATTATCATGAGATATTCATTTACTAAGAAATTCATAATAGTAAATATTTAAATTTTTCAATATCACTTTATAGATAATATAAGCTTTGAAATTAATCAAGTTTCTAAGTGATTTTTCTTAAAAGGAAGGGATTTAATTGAAAACATAAGATTCAGATGGAATTAATGAAATGCTTGGAAATGATCATATTCAAATGCCTGCTCAAGCTCGAACTGAAACCAATATTAATCTAAATCATTAAAAAATCTAGAATTCTTAGAGACGGCAGACACTTAGGAAAACTACATCTCATTAAGACTTGTCAATTATAAAGAATAGATAATTAAATAAATAAAGTAATTATAAATAAATATAAATTAGCCTTATCGAATAAATATATAACCTAATTGTTTATACATCTATCAATGCCAAAAGGGAGCAATTTAAATAAAAGGGATATTCATTTACCTAACATCTCAGCCCATTAAATTAAATAATCAAATTTCAATGTTAAGTAATCATGATTTTACACAATTAATTATAATTATAATTGTAATGAGTTAAATAATCAATTTAAGCAATATTATAAAATAAGAGGAATTCAAACAATCTAAAATATAGGGCGTAACTAAGACTATATGCAAACTGAGTATTTTCATCAATTTAATTAGAATAATCAAATCATTAAAATGTTTAGATCTCAAAGAAAATCATACTTCCAATACTTTCAATATCTAGACCAATATCCACTGTTATTAAATCCTCAGTTGAATTGAAATTAGCTTTATAGTGTCCTTAGGAAAGATGTTTAGGATCCTTATGTGAAAATCCTTGCACTTACAATTATAAAGTTTGTAGAGTTGATTAAAAACATGATCTTTTTATCTTTTCTCTTTAACAATACGACAGACATTAATATACTAAATAGCAAATTTGCTAAATTATTCAAAATATGAATGATCAATATAGCTCATAAGCATTAGAATGTGTTGAATAGAGATTTAAAATTCTAGACAATTTCTAACTATAAACATTAATATCAGACAATGAATTAATTGAATTTGAATAATCCCTCCACAAATATCCTTTTTAATGCACTCTATAAAATGTTAATCCTAATAATAGTATTCTATCATCTAGAATTATTAATCAAAAACTCTTAGATCTTATGGGAATTACTAAAGATATGATGTTCGATCATCTCAAAGAAACATAAGCATTACCAACTATATTCAATCATGATGGTTCTTTAAAAAATTGGTGTGAACTGGCTTAATATTCAGTTGAAGGTAGAGAATTCTTTGATTATTATTTGAACACTTATGAAGGTTCACAATTTAGGTCAAAGGTTTAATAAAAATAAATTTTTAAATCCTCTCCCTTTGATCCAAATTAAATTATATTTATTGAATTTAGAATCATACATGCAGATCCTAAATTATTAAAAAATCTTTGTAATTCTGCTAGAATCCTTAAAAATCATGCAGAATATTTCAATCTGAAAAATAGTGACATAATTTTAAACTAATTCAAACAGAAAACAAAATATTTAGATGCCAAAAATTATTAGATTACTAAGCCTTGTGGCTATAAAAATATTGATCAAATTTTTCAATCTTGAAATATATATATTATTATTATTATTATTATTATATTTATTTACATATTTATAGTACATACCAAATATAGATCACCATGATATTCTCGAAGTTCCAACATTCTTTCTAATCTAAAATTCACATGATGAATAATGCCATGTTACTAAATATTCGCCATCTTCTGTAAAGCTTCCGAATTTACGATAATCTTCAAATTCTATTATTTAGAGTATTTCATATTCTTCCTCATTTATTTATTTAGTAATATACATGTATTTGTTATGAATATTAGCAAAACACTCTTATTTTGTTAAGAATTTCGATGGAAAATATTAATAATCATCATCTGCTTCGATTTACTAAATATTGTGTTTTGAAGCTTAAAATTATTATAATTGAGAATTGTATGAAAAAATATGGACATTTTCATTATTATTTGGTTGAAACAAAAATTGAGTTTCATTTATAAAAAGGACTCTATTAGCATATGTTTCATTTTAAATCATTTGCTTTTTTTCAATTTAAAATGATTCTTAAATTTCCCATATGATAATTGATTTATCATAACTACAAGATACCATAAAAGATTCAGATTTATTTAATGATAATCCTAACACTGCATCAGTATGTTCATGTAAAGTTTAAGTGCATTCAAAAGTCTAATTCAATTAATTTTTGATCCATTTCTTTATACTTTTGTCTCTACTCCCAGATAAGATAGTTTATTCATCTTCTGTCTAAATCAAACATAAAACCCAATCTTCATGACCTTATAAAACTTATATGCATTTCCATTCATTCTGATCAATTTTATTCCAAATTCTAATTGTTCTGTCATCACTCCCAGAGATAAATTGATTGATTTATTTGCTAAACAATAAACAATTAATATCTCCTGAATGTTATTTGGCTTAATATGTTTAAACAATTCTTCCTTTTAAAAAATCAAAGACTTTAATTGAAAATATACACCCAGCTATCATGATATTTCCTTATTTATTAAAAGCTATTGCATTACACCATTCAGCTTACTTTTTTGTAAAAAATAATTAATAATCAATATATTTATCAGACCATTTTAATTATTGAATTCTCCATTCTTCTAATGATTTAATCTTATTATTTATTTTCTTAAACTTTTAATCTTATATTTGATCCTTCAATTAAACCTAAAAATTTTCACTCAATGTGCTGTTTGATCTTTATTTCTTTTTTTCACTGTTTTATCTTGATCTATAATTATTTTTAGGTGATTAATAATCATTATTAAAACCATCCTATTCATGAATAAAACATAAATTCAATTGAGCTATTTGATTATTAATTTCTTATAATTCTTCTATACTGTTTTAGAATATGCAATCAATATTCAAATTTTTCATTTTATATTTGATTTCCATTTCCTTTAAACATTATTTCATTTATTCTGGTTTACTCAATATATCTGCTATATCTAAAACTTCATTTAAAGTCATAGTGTTCCAATCTTTATTCATGCTTCCTATAATTTTCAAGATATCTTATTCTGTCTATGCCATTACCCCATTCAATTATAAGATGATTGAGTTAATTTTGTCTATAAATGAATTTTTCAACTAAAATAACTATTGTGTAATAATCCAAATCTATGATTTTCTGGATTAATAATACTGTGTCAGTATTTCAGATTGTTTTCTTTCATAGTTTCTCCACAAATTTTAACATTTTGTCAATGATGTAAAGATACATGGATCACATTCCACACATCTTGCTCTATACTCTTTTTGTTGCTACTCACTTAAATCAAATATAATTATTTCTTTATCATGTTCTTTGCAAATCAAATCCAACTTTGGAGTTCTCTTTGAACAATATATTAATATATTCTTACTTAAATATTTCCCTTTTAATATTCAACATTCATTTAATTATTCTCTATTAATTTAACTATTCTTTTCTCATCCACCTAGATCATTAATTCAAAACACTCATATAATATATCACCTTATTACAATCTCAATATATCATGTTATATTTGATTCTAAAATTCTATAATATTCTATTATCCACCTATCTTTTTCATTTTCTTACATCTTGTTATTTCCTCTATTAATTATTCTCCAAAATTCTTGATATTTAACTTATCACTCAAATTTTCATTTTTTTCATTTTGCATTCCCGCTTAATTAAAAATCAATGTACTGAATTCCATTCTTTCATTTATTTTATTGTTTATTTAATCGAGTGTTTATGAAAAGTGATTCTGCAATTTCTATACAATTATTTACATATTTTTTAAGAAATTGATTTTCCCTTTCTACTCCTCTTCAAATCGATATAAAAATTCCAATCTAAATTATTCAAGTATTAATTCAGCGTCTTTCAATAAATATATATGCTTATTGTTAGCTCTTTCAGCTAAGCAATTTTCGCACAAAATTGAATAATTATTTTCATCTCTTGTCAACCACTCTATAGCAATTCCAACCTTTTGATGATACTAGCATCTGTCTAAAGTCTTTGACATCTCAAATTACACAACAAGATTAACTTTAATTCAAATAATCAATTTCCGCGTATGCAATTTATATACAAATTTAATATTTGAGAACTAATTAATATAAAATTATATCATTCAATAATTATCGAAATTTATATATGATTAGATTTTCAAAACTTATGATTTCTTTGTTTTTTATTAATAATGTAAAATAATTTATTCACTTTATAAGTTTTTTTCCTTTAGGAAATAAAATGATAATTTCGTAATTAGAAGATTAAGACAGAGAATAACACCTATGAAATTAGTATTCTAATTTTATGCTTTAATGATATATGAAAAAAAATAAATAAATAGTATATAAAGAAAATACAATTATATAATTGTATTAATTAAGTATAAATTAAAAAATTATATTAATAACAACATTATCTTATTTATATAAAATAATATTAAAATATTCTTAAATTATATACTCTTTAATTTATATATGATTATCCTAATATGTATATTATTCTATCATTTCTTGTAATATTTGGAAAGCTAATTTATATCTAAAATGTTTTTTAATTAAATCTATATTAAATAATATTAATTAGAATTTATAGTAGAATATATTATTTTCATTTATTTATTGATAAACTTCTTATTTTCTAGGATTAAATGTTATTTTTTATAATTTCAATCTTATTAAAATAAGATATATCCACTTTATTAATTAAATATAATAGCGATATATTTTTCTGTAATATTAATTTGAATAAACCAATATAACTCTAAATAAAAGTATTATAATAAATGTTTTTTCATTACAATATACTTGTTTTTCGAACCCCATAAATTGAATTCTATTGTATCTTTATGAAATGATATTCACATACAGTTAGATGTTGAATAGAAAAGATACAGTATCTTTAAATAATTGAATATAATAATTTATATTAGAATAATGAACTCGAAGAATAATAACTAAAGAATTACTTGATTTATATTTGATATATTTAACAAAATATTTGATTAATTAATAGTAAATAACTAATATTAAATTGAATTAAGTAATTTAATTATGAAATATACTTACGATTAAGTGAAAGGTGTAGCATAAGAAGAATAAGGAGGTGATATGCAACAAATTTTTTCATTTTTGTTGGCATTTGCAGGAACTTGGATGAAAGTAAATGAATTTTTAAAGGATAGTAAAAAGTATTCATCTGGATGGCATTTTTTTTCTTGTTATCATCTTGTGCAACAATGAAGACCAGATCAGCAAACTACATGCAAATTATATTGAATTTTGGTATAATTGTAATGGGATTCCTATCATTATATGTTTGGCAGCCAAAACATGAGATGTTGTTGCAACAATAAAGGGAATAAACATTGTAATAAAATTGATGATGTTAATATTTGTTAAAAATAATGAAAATTATCAATGAATTCATGCATAGGCTAAGATATATAAATATAATAATTACTTAGACACTCTAAGGTGAAATCATCAATACGGCCACTCTAACAATAGCAACTATTTCCTTATTTAATGAAATTAGCTTCACATTAAGTACATGTTTGTTAATCAGAACATTGTTAACAACCTAGAGGACATAAAACACACTTTTGTTATTGTATGTCAAAAATAAAACCATTTTTACATTTCTTGAAATCATTAGAATTCTAATCATATATCCATTCTTTGCAATCAGATTCATTTGGTCCAATACATGATTTACATAATGGGTAGCATCTTGAAATCATAACATTTAAATTTGATATTCCAAAACTGAAAATTGAATAGTTTTATTAATGAGATAGTAAAGATAATTGTAGATTGTTTGAATTATGTACAAATTACTAATTAATTTCCTGTACTTAATTTTATTTTGAATTAATAATTAATATAGTTTTGTTATCTTAATCAAGTTCAATAGAATTAAGCATTTGACTTGTTGTATTCAATTCAAATGTTAGTATATTGAATTAAACTATGACTTAATAATGAGGTGGCAATTAATAGAATGATTTTTTATATAGTTATATTGATACATCTTTTAAACCTCCAAAATATCTAATTCCATTATAATATGTTCCAAAATAGTTTTATGTAAGAGAGGCTAAAGTTGTAACATTTTTTTATAAGAAATTTACAATTAGATTATCATCAAACGCTCTCATAATTACTTCTGTATTTGGATAATTTTCTTTTACATCTTTGCAAGTATCTTCATTATATAATGATGAATATTTAGGACAAGATTAAACACATTGTCCTAAATATAACAAATAACCTGATTTACATAGTTAACATGTATTTTTGGATGAGCATTGTTAACATTATGGTTGACAATTTTATTGATTAAATACAACTTAATTAATGCCCCATTTTGTATTTGGATCTCCGATTATTGAAAAAGAGATGTTTGAATTTAATTTGGCATCAATCATATAATCAATATGAAATAATTTGTATCCGTTCTAGCCTGTAATTGTTTAAGTATAGATTGGGTTAATATTAGTTTTAATCTCATCAACTTAAATGTAAATCTCAGGTCTTAGAAGTGATTAAAATATGTAAATATCTGCTCTTATTCTAATGGATTAAAAGGGATTTGTATTGTTGAATTAATAGCTAATAGTTTAATTTATTGAAAATAATCCTACAACATTAGAGTAAGTTTTGTCTTGCATTTCCTATACAATTTAATTTTCAATAATTGTCCATCCATTATAGTCATAACTATTCCAAAAAAAGGTCTACATTTATTCAATATCTATTATAATATTTTTTTTCATACTTTTATCAATCAAACATTTATTGGATTATTTATCATAATATTCAGAGATATCACATTTAGTTAAACATTAATTCATATTTATACTGAAATATGGTTGTGTAGAAGGGCAAACACATTGATTTGTTTTTCTATTAAGTTGAACTCCTAATTCACAAGATCGACAATTGTTTTCTTTAGGACCAACACATTGAGTACATGATTCATGACATATTTTAGGTACTATTTAAATGTTCCTTATTCCTAAAGTAAATTTTGAGGTATTTTCCAATTAAATTATTAAATTCAGATCTTACTAAAAATGAGAATAGGTTGTAAAGTATGTAACCATTTCAGTATCAACTTAATTATCACAAAATGGTGAGGGGTATTTGTTAAGTTTTTAGTACTAATCAATTAAGATGTTATCAAGGTATATATTAACATTTTACTCTGTATAATCACCAATAAGGTAAAAATCAACATATATTTCAACAGCATAATGGGGTTCTGTTATTTTAAATTGAAAATTAAGATTGGGTTACTCTTGATCAATAAAGTAGAAATCAATTTTATCAAGAACAGAACATTATTTCACATTGGTTTGAAATAGTTGAGATAATTAAACTTCGTTCAATTCTTCATAAACTATCTAGGCAACTAATAAAGTATTAATATAGTAAATTACAAGTGCATGCTATTAAATTAGAAATCAAGAAGTTTAACATGATGTAATAATTGTTTGAAAATTATTTTAATCTTTTTGATTAGAATATACTAGTCTTTTATTTTGTGTAATAAATCTTAGTTATATCATTTAATTATAATAACTATAATATTATTGATTATTAAGAATATGACATATTAATAATAATATTGCTGCAATTATTGTATTTTTTATAAATCTAATCTAATCATCTTGATTGAGTTAATAAGAATTTAATTTGTATTTTTGAACCAATATAAAGTATTTGCAAATGTTAATCATTTAATATAAAATTTAGTTCATTGAATATAATGAGCTATAAATAATAAAGAGATGTAGAAGCCTAATTTTAATCTCAATTAACTATAGATGACTTGTCTGATTTATTTAAGTTGAACTCAATCAATGATGGATCCAGTATTTAAAAGGTAAAATAATTTGGAGATGATACTGGATTAGCAAAGAAATTAAACACAGATTTAAAGGTAATGATGATAATTATATGATTAGAAAGGATTTTCAGATAAGAATTAAATAGAGAAATCAAAGCAAGTGTATGGGGATAATACACCTATTGAGAAAGAGCCAACAACTTTATGTGAATTGATAATGGAATGTTTAGGGGATACAATGCTACAAATCTTATTGATAGCAGCGCTAGTATCGACTGTGATTGGTATGATCAATGAAGGAGTAAAAACAGGATGGACTGAAGGGTACTAAAATATGTAATATATCTTAGTGCCACTATATTTTTTGCAATATTCTTAATCATATCAATAACAGCAGGAAACAATTATCTAAAGGAGAGACAATTTAGATAGTTACGTAGAAAATTGGATGATGGAAAATGTTAAGTAATTAGAGATGGTAAAGTAACGGAAATACAAACTAAAGATATCGTCGTTGGAGATTTGCTAATTTTCAATTTAGGTGATTTGTTTGTTGTAGATGGTAATAAAATGTATCAAATTCAATAGGTTTAATGGTTTAAGGAAGTGCAGTTAAAATTGATGAATCACCAATGACAGGTGAGAGTGATGAGATAAAGAAATTACCATATTCTGAAATGGTTTAATAGCAACATAATCAATTAAATGTAAATTAAGAAGCAGCTAGAGGACATGTAAGTCCATTTTTAATATCTGGAACAAAATGTCTAGATGGAACAGGTTAAATGATTGTATTGGCAGGTAGAAACTTATTAATATAATAAAGTTGGTTAGAATACAGTATCTGGAAAGTTGAAACAATTATTGATTTAAGAGAATCCTCCAACTCCATTGCAATAAAAATTAGAAGGAGTAGCATCAGATATAGGTAAATTGGGAGTTTTAGTATCTATTTTAACATTTATTGCTTTAATGGGACATCTAGGATATGATTGTTATTAAGGTAAGTTTCCATTTCTGAGTATAAAGACATTATAAATCATAGTGGAATCATTTATGATTGCTATTACAATTATTGTAGTTGCAGTACCAGAAGGATTACCATTAGCTGTAACAATTGCATTAGCATATTCAGTTGGTAAAATGAAAGATGAATAAAATTTGGTTAAGAATTTATCATCATGTGAAATAATGGGAGGAGCTAATAATATTTGTAGTGACAAGACAGGAACACTAACATAAAATATAATGTAAGTAGTTGCATTGTGGACTGAAAATCAAACATTTAAAGATTAAGTTCATACTAATAAAAATAAAATCAAAAAGGAAACTATTGAACTAATGTGTGAAAGTATTTGCTATAATTCAAATGCATTTCCTGAAAAGGATCCATAAACAAACAAATGGATTCAAATTGGAAATAAAACAGAATGTGCTTTATTAGAATGTTCAGATAATTTTGGATTTAATTTTAATCAATTCAGACCAAGTGATAAGGTTTTAAGATAGATTCCATTTAACAGTAAAAGAAAGAAGATGAGTACAGTCATTTTTAATTAGAAATCACAATATATTAGAGTCTATACTAAAGGTGCCTCTGAAATTGTATTGTCATAATGTAATAAATACATTGCAAATAATGGTATTGAATAGATGTTAGACCCTTAATTGAGAAAAAATATCTATGATAATATAATCTAGAAATTTGCATCAGAATCTTTGAGAACAATAGCCATTGCTTATAGAGATCTTGATCCTTAATCTCATGGATCAAATATTAGAGGATAGACTTCTTAATTGACTAAAATAGCATAGAATATCCCTGAAGATGATTTAGATAAAGATCTAGTATTGATAGGTATTGCAGGTATAAAAGATCCAATTAGACCTGATGTACCTAATTCAATTAAATAATGTCATGCATCTGGTGTCAAAGTTAGAATGGTTACAGGAGATAACATTCTTACTGCAACTGCTATTGCTAAAGAATGTGGAATATTACCAACAAATAGAGAAATAAGTGAATGGGAAGTTGTAGATGGTAAAAAGTTTAGAGAATTTGTTGGAGGATTAAAAGATGAAATTGTTGATGGAAAAACAGTGAAAGTTGTAGGTAATAAGGAGAACTTTGCCAGAGTTAGTAGGGATATGAAAGTCATGGCTAGAGCATCACCAGAGGATAAATATATATTGGTTACTGGTTTAATAGCTGAAGGAAATGTTATTGCAGTCACAGGAGATGGTACTAATGATGCTCCAGCTTTAAAGAAAGCAGATGTTGGATTTGCTATGGGTATTACAGGATCTGATGTTGCCAAAGATGCTGCAGATATCATTTTATTAGATGATAATTTTAGTTCCATTATTACAGGTATTATAATTTACTAATTTAGCTATGAAATGGGGTAGAAACATATATGATTGCATTAGAAAATTCATTTAATTTTAATTGACTGTCAATTTAGTAGCTTTGTTCATGTCATTTTTAGGAGCTGTAGTTCTCAAGGAATCTCCATTGAACACTATAGAAATGTTATGGGTTAATCTTATTATGGATACTTTTGCTTCTTTAGCCTTAGCAACTGAACCTCCTAATATTACTGTACTTGAAAGATAACCATACAAAAGAGATGATAAAATTGTATCACCCACTATGAATAGAACAATAGTTGGTGGATCTATCTATTAAATATGTGTACTATGTACAATTTTATTCTTGCTTCCTTAATATATGGATTTATCTATGCCTGCTGAATTGATTGGATAGAAAGTAATTTAATTATTTATTTATTTAGTTCCACAAAAATGTAGTCTAAATGAGTATTTTCTTCTAAACTTTTGTTGTCATGCAAGTCTTTAATTCTATCTCATGCAGACAACTAGATTATAAGACAATCAATCCATTTGCCAATGCTTGTAATAACCCTTTATTTTGGGCTGTTTAAACTTTTACTTTGGTTATTTAATGCGTACTCATCCAATATGGAGGCAAATTTGTAAAGGTTTCTCATTTAACTTTACATTAACATCTCTTATGTCTTGGATTTGGTGTTGGTAGCATCATATTTTCAGTCCTAGTAAAAATGGCCATTCCAGAACGTTGGTGTTAATTTGTTGAGTTGTTTAGAGAAAATGAAGTATAATCAGGGGATATGGATACTTCTTTAACAAGTGTTCTTAGAAGAAAATCTACAAATAGATTAGGTAATTCAAGAAAGAGTATGGATTAACAAGGTAGCTAGATTAGAATGAGTGCTTAAAGAATGTGATGATATTAATATATCATAAATTTATAACATAATATAATTTCTTTGATCCAATAAATTATTTATTTATTATCAAAACAAATGTTAATCTAAAAGTAATATCAATTATATTTTAGAACCAAAATAAAGAAAATTATATCTTATTTCTGCATCCATTACCTTTACTATAACTTGTTTGCATTGTTATTTGCTCTATTCCAATATAATCGAGCACCTTTTGCTGTACCTTTAGGATTGAGCATTGCATTCGAAATCTTCATTTGTTATTACTATTCAAACAAACAAATCGTCAAGATGGTTGACCATGTATTACACATTATGGCATACGTAATTACCACAAATATTACTCAAGAATTTTGTTATCATCCTTTATTACACTAACCTTCAATATTATTTATTCGGAAATTTATTCTTCCTTTTATCATTTGTTATCAGAACTAAAGAAAGTTGCTCATCTTAAATATAACATGAATATTCTTCCATCATAAGATTTGTAATAATCATATACATTATAAATATAGTTAAAAACTTTTTATAGATTTTCATCATTGATTGCAAGTGTTTGTATTTCTTTAAAACTCAACAAATATGTTGAATGGACTTGGCCTTAAGCATTCTGGTGGTATTGGATGTTTCTAAGTGCTTTAGTTGGTACATGCTTTACTTTAATTATTGTACTTCTATCAAAACTTATTAATGAAATTTTCAAGCAATATCAGACAGTTCCTCAAGAATGTAAAATCTATTAATTTTTAGATAAATCTCTATTATGGGCTTTATATATTTCAATAATAAGTAGTATTCTTTCAGTAATGTGGATTATTAATACTTTTAATAGATTAGGATTAGATTTGCCAATAAAAATTGGTGAAGTTTTATTTTATTCCACAGTTTCTTTTAATTTAATTATTTTTTGTGCTATTACTAAATTATTATGGGACTCTATTATTGATTATTGTGTCGAATTATTATAATCATAATCAACTGATATTGAATCTTAAAGAGAATTACCAACAAGTTAAATCAGTTAGCAAAAATAATATGAAAAAAGGAGGGCTATTCATTAAATATTTTTAAAAAAGCTATCATCTGCTTTTTTTAGATAGACAACTAAAGAAGATTTAATTTAATAATCTAATAAGATGACAGAATTAATGACTGAAAGAGGACAAACAAAAAAAATATTATCAACTATAGAAATGGAATCTAAATAATTATAAGAAAACTAAAATAAAATGAATGAATCTAATTAAAAATGTATTATATGTTGTGAAAATCCACCTAATGCAGTTTTAATGATATGTGGTCATGGCGGAATTTGTTATAAATGTGGATTAGAAATGGCTCAAAAAAGCAAAGAATGT